TTTTATTCTACCGGAATCGCTTGGTAGTTCCTAGTGGCGAAGTGAGGGAACGTTTAATGCGTGAATCTCACGAAACCACTTATACCATGCATCCTGGTAGTAATAAAATGTTCCAAGATCTGAAGAAGACATATTGGTGGCCCACAATGAAGCGGGAAATTTCTGAATTTACAACACGATGTCTGACGTGTCAACAAGTCAAGGCTGAACACCAAGTGCCTAGTGGGTTGTTACATCCACCTACTATCCCTGAATGGAAGTGGGAACGAATTACGATGGACTTTGTGATTGGACTTCCATTATCAGCTAAGAAAAATGACGCTGTCTGGGTAATTGTTGATCGATTAACCAAGTCATCTCATTTTATTCCTATTCGACGCGATATGTCCTTGAAGAAGTTGGCAGAGTTGTACATCCGTGAGATTGTAAGATTACATGGTGTACCTTTGTCTATCATTTCTGATCGTGACCCGCGGTTCACTTCACAATTCTGGAAAAGTTTGCAGAAAGCCTTAGGTACTAAACATAACTTTAGTACGGCATTTCATCCTCAAACTGACGGACAATCTGAAAGGACAATTCAAATTCTTGAAGATATGATGAGAGCATGTGTAATTGATTTTGGAAGCAACTGGGAACAATACTTACCGCTAATGGAATTCGCGTATAACAATAGTTATCAAGCGAGTATCCAAATGGCCCCGTACGAAGCCTTGTATGGGAGACGTTGTAGAACCCCAGTATGCTGGACAGAATTAAGTGAGCAAAAGCTTGAAGGACCTGATCTCGTTCGCGAAACTGAAGAGAAGGTTCGTCTAATCAGAGAAAGATTGCAGGTGGCTTCCGATCGACAGAAATCTTATGCCGACTTAAAACGTCGGGAGATCGAATATAATGTTGATGACAAGGTGTTTCTGAAAGTCTCGCCGTGGAAGAAAGTGTTACGGTTCGGTAGAAAGGGGAAACTAAGTCCGAGATATATTGGACCCTATCGAATCACTGAACGTGTGGGTCCAGTAGCCTATCGGTTAGAACTTCCACCAGAACTGAACAAAATCCATGACGTATTCCATGTATCGATGTTGAAAAGATAATGTTCCGATCCATCACATATCATGACTGAAGGAATCGTAACTCTTGACGAACAATTGACTTATGAGGAGGAACCTGTACAAATTCTAGCACGAGGAGTCAAACAATTGAGACACAAATCCGTACCTCTAGTCAAAGTACTATGGAGAAATCATTCGACTGAAGAAGCAACATGGGAAACCGAAGAGTCAATGAGAACACAGTATCCGAATCTCTTCAATCAATGACTCAGGTAATTTCGAGGGCGAAATTATTTTAAGGGGGAGAGAAATGTAACACCCCAAAAATAGGCCTATCAGAGTTAATTAATTTATAATTAATTAATTACTGAGAAGGACCCAAAAATAAGTAAATTCTAAAGTTTGTCAATAAATAATGAAAATCATATCATTATGTAGAGTTTGACTGTCTGACCCCAACGGTTCAATCGGATTTCAATTTGGAGAAAGTTGGACCAAAAAGTGTACCCCGACTAGAACCACTGAGACGCCAAAACAGGAGAACAACATGTCATCCCATGTCTTCTTCCCCTTCTCTTCTTCTATATAATGGAAACAAAAACTTCACCATTTCTTCACCATTCCTCATCAAATTCGTTCTGGGAGATAACCTTGAGTGTGGAGAACGCAGGGGTGCTGTCAATTTGGTGTAAGGTCGCCGGAGTTGAGAGCTATCGTCACCGGAAGTTTCGTCGGAAAATCTTCAAAACACCCATTTAGCTTCAAAGTAAGCCCGTAGATATATCTAAAGATCAGAATGTTCATATGGGTTGTTTTTACGTTCATAAATGGTCATTTGGTTGAGTTTTGTGTTGGACATGTTTGAAAAACCAAGAATCACAAACCTTGAATTTGATGTTAAAAATATGTTTTAATGATTCTAAAATGATCTATGAACCTTGGAGAACATTTCTATATAATTTAATTGAAGTTTGGTGTTTTAAAACCATAATACTCGAAACTGACCCGAGGAAGAAGATGATGAACAGTAGCCGAAAATCGATTATTTACTTACTAAAAATCGATTAGAATTTTATTCAGGCCAGTGGTTCGAAGTCAGTACCATTTAATCAATTATTTATGTTGTAAAAATCGATTATTATGAATTAATTGATTATTTATATTGTAAAAATCGATTATTATGAATTAATTGATTATTTAAATTGTAAAAATCGATTATTATGAATTAATGGATTATTTAAATTGTAAAAATCGATTTTTATGAATTAATCGATTATTTATATTGTAAAAATTGATTAAAATTAATTAATTCATTATTTAAATTGTAAAAATAGATTATTATGAATTAATGGATTATTTAAATTGTAAAAATCGATTTTTTATGAATTAATCGATTATTTATACTGTAAAAATCGATTAAAATTAATTAATTGATTATTTAAATTGTAAAAATCGATTATAATGAATTAATTGATTATTTAAATTGTAAAAATCGATTATTATGAATTAATGGATTATTTAAAATTATATAAATCAATTTTTATAAATTAAATGATTATTTTAAATTATTTTCCTCAATTCTAGATCCTGTTCTGAAAATATTATTGAAAATATGCTCTAAAATCCTATTTTGTTACCAATTAATTATAAACCATAAAAATATGATTTTGTACAATAAAAAT